GCTGGGATTACAGGCTTGAGCCACCGCGCCCGGCCAATTACACTGTTTTCATCTGTTAATTTATAGGAATTAATATGTGTATGAAAACATTTTCATTATTACATACAAAAATGAATATTGTGGCATATCATCAGAATATTTATAGTATTTTACTTAATAGGCAAATGAATAGGCAATTTGAGATTTGTAGTTAAAGTTGCAAATTTTCCCATTCTAGGTACTTCCTTTTCTCTTTGATTCATATCACTTTTTTGAATTGGCATATTCCCCATTTACTCTTGTGTCTCTAGTGCTTCATTTTAGAATCTAGAGAAGAAGGGACTGTCTGTCACAGAACTCATCATAGAATTTTACAAATGTTGGTTATTCTATGTCAGTGATGAGTTGCATAGGGAACCCCTCCCTCCCAATATAAACTTTTGAAACAGAAAAGAGATGTTTTGCTCACAGAAATCTTCATTTAGTAAATATTTTACTGTCCACAAAGATGGCAAACTGAAAGGGCAGTCCAGAGCAGATCAATTAGCATTGATGCTAATTCCGTTTTTGTGCTAAATTTGTCAAACTCATCAGAGAAGTCTTAGTTGAACATTAGCCATCTAAATGTATGGGGCTCCATGGAATCATTCAAGACCCTGATTTAAAGGCAGCTCTCCTTCAAACCTTTATTGGTATACCCTAAATATGCAATGCAAGCAAACTTCTGTTGTGCACGTTTTTCAGCAGTCTTCACAAGGATGAGGATGTATGGTCTTCTCCTTGCACAAATGTATCAAGAATCATCGAGAGCAGAAGGAGATAGTTGCTTTCCAAAGAGCCATAAGGGCTACTCCAAGCCATAGCTGTGGCCAGCACGCTCTTTCTCAACGCATTCATTCCCATGCTAAGATATATTCTGAGACTGAGCACCCTTCTCTTTCTGCCTTTCTCTGTCTGTCTGTCCCTGCTCCCTCCTCAGATTGGCATCCTTACTGAAAATCCCTTTCTGGATTTATCTGAGGTGGGTTCAGACTAGGAGTAAAAGGCCTTGAGTGTGGTGGTAAAGACACAGACAGTCCCAGCTGAACGCCACTCCACCACTTCCTAACTGTGTCATTTTACTTCATCTTTCTATTCCTTGGTTTTATAAACTATTAAAGAAGGAAAATTAAAGTAACACTCTTTGGGGATAGTTAAGTGTTTTAAGCAAGATAATACATATATAACACTTGTTTCGCTGCCTGAAAAGTGTTCTACACTAAACGTCTAAACAGATTTTCCTGAATTTGCTCTCAGGAGGCTGTTTGACAATCCTTAATCTCTTTCTTTCTGATTTTGGGGTCAGGCAGCTATGACCCTTAAATTATTCAGACCAGCCTCAAGTCCAATTAATCACTGATCTTTTCTTCCTTGGGTCCAAGCTTTGTGTGCTTATAGTTGTCCCTTATCTATCAGGTTTTCCTTTTTCCAAGGAACTTAATTTCAAAGCAAAATGTCCAAGCTCAACCTCTTAAAGAGGCATGGATTTCCTATGATCATAATCTTGTTATTTTTTTTCATGGCTATGTCATCCATCTTCATTTATCCCTAAAAAATATAAATCTCGGAAAAGATGGTTATCATGCATTCTTGTATTTTCATTAAAGCATGCAAAAAGCTCATTGCCTATTGGGGAAAAACATGTTAGC